AGAACGTAGAAAGCAGGGTGAAAGATAAATGAACAGAAAATCATAGGGAAAAGATTAAAGAGCCAAAAGAAATAGAAAGAGGGTAAAAACGGCATCACAGATATAAGGAAAAAAATACGGCGAATTCCAAACGTAATTTATAATCCCAAAAGAAATAAAATGAATACTATAGAATGGTACGCCACTGGTATACAACCACCAACGAAACCCAAACAAAAATCCCTAATTCTAAAACTAAGTATGAATCCTAACCTAAAGTAAAATCAAAATAAAACTTATAAAGGGATTTCGAAGGCGACAAAACTAACGAAAAACTGAAAGAGAAAAAGGAACGTAACAGGCTACTGGGGGGCTAAGTAAACGGGCTCACATTTATATGGTTACCCTCACTTGCTGTAGAAGAAAGATAATGCTCATACTGCGAGAGCACGCGCAAGTTCTTGTATAAGTTGTTCTTAAAAGTCAAGTTATTGATGTTGGTGCGAATTAATTTCAGTATAATATTTTGAGATGAAATAGACATTTTCGTCAATTTATTCGAAAAGATTAAAATTGAGAAAAGGTTTGCAACGTAATATCCAAGAACGTTTAAATACATCAACGTCCGTGTATATTATTTTAAACAAAAGTTGCTTAAAATTTGTATACAGGGCGAGCCATTAGTACGTAGGTGGAAGATTGTGGGTTTATTAAGGCACATATAAAATTCATTTTCGGGGCATGTTGAAGAACTCTTTAGGGCTACAGCCTAAAAATATTTTCTACGAATTTGCAATTCTTATACCTTGATTTATTTATATCAAAGTTGCATTTCTATAAATAAAATCCGCTGTATCTTGTGGCATGTTTCGATTCCTTGATCAATTAGTCATTTTTTTCAAAAAGTAGATGTCAAGTAACAATTGAATATCGCAGTTACCATAAAACTTAGAAGGCCGTGACTCTGCGGTGTTATTATGAAATGTATTACAATGCACTGCACCATAGCCTACTATAAAGACTCTGGCTGAACGCTCAATGTTAAATTTTGTTGTATTAAAAGAAATTACTGCGTCAAAATTTCAATCAAAGGTAACTAGATTTTTTTAAATTGAACTAGGTACCAAGTTTTTTTTATTGCGTCAAATGTAGGATTTGATTACCTTTGTTATTCTAACCAAGTGTGTACCTACATATATGTTGTAATTCAAGAATTTCTGATATAATTCACAGTCTTTTTCGATTTTCAAAGCCTCTCAGTAATTAGTAGGCCGTATGAACACCAATTTAAATTATAAAACATTGATTAATTAATTCAATGAATTAATTAATTAAATTAAACCAATTACCGATAGATCGAAAAATGAATTATTAGAAATTGTTGAATTACAAAACATATGTAATAAAAAAGTACGACATACTTATATCGTTAGAAAGGTAATCAAATCCTACATTTGATGCAATAGAGAAAACTTTGTAGTTCCATTTAACAAAATCAAGTTCCCTATCTTTGATTGAAATTTTGAAAAGTTATTTTTAACACAAAAAAGGTATAACTTTGACCGTTAGTACATTTCATGATTAGTAATATTGAGATGCCCCAACCTTAGCAACATCCTGCGAATATGATTGTCGATACGAAGCACCCTGTATATCATGTTAGTTACAAAAGCTGCCAACCGAAATCTGGTGAGATTGCATAAAAGGGAGAAAGAGCGAAGATGAGACTGATAGAATTTCTCTGAAGACCACATGTGTTTGCCATTTCAAACACCTGTAGTCCAGAGTTTTCCTAGAAATGCCTGAAATGCAGGGAATGGGCGCCTTTCGGATGGTTTTTAGGGATGTTAAGGGATCAAATAACAGCGTTGCTTGGGGAAGTTAATAAATACGATGTAGAGAATGTGTTCATGGTATTTTCTTCTAACCGGCTTAAGGGGTCTATTCCGTATATCATCGTTAACAAACGATATCGTAATGGTAGCGATTTGATCTTGAAGGGCAGCTTTATTCAGTATAACTTTTATATGTCATACAGAATAGAGAAAGTCGTTACCGAACGATTACCGCTGTGTAACGACATCGTTACACGTTAGAGAATAGGCCCCTAGTGTGAAGTACGGCTTATCGTGAAATATTTTTGTTATACCGTAATCATTACTGTGTGCTTTTGCTTTTTATCATCTCAGGTGAGGTATTTGCTTTATTCAATTAATCTCTGAATGTGTCTAACTTGAATGCAGATTGTAACCCTTTACTTATGTACTTACTAGATACAATCACTTGTATCTCTAATGTGTAACCTTTGTTGGTGTAGGCAATTATGTTTTATTGTCGGTAGGGCTGTGTCCATCGTGTATATATTTACATGTGTTCTGATATTTGTGTATGGTACTTTTTAGTCACTCTCGAACCTCTTTGGCATTGGTTGAATTATTTCATTGCCTTTTGTTATATTACTTTGTTTATTGTGCCGTGACAAGCGGGAGTAGCCAAAGCGTGTGTGTTTATTGGGAATCGAGTTATTCAAGTTAATACGGACCTTGGTGAACCAAACACTAACATTTTCACTCGTTCCGAAACCAAACAACTCTAGCCCACGTTTACGAGCACCCCACTGGACATGGGTAATCCTACCGTCCGGCGAGGCACATTTAATACCTCTTAGTTTTGTCTGATGTATGTGTTGTAGTACCTGGGGAATGGCTCGATTCCATTTTGGTTACTCATATAACGTGTACGTAGTATTTACTCCTGTTTGTGCTAAAGAATTTTTACTCTCGAGAGGGTTCAAAAGTGCTGTACATTAGATGTTAGCTGTAGGTTTTGACATGTACGTTTTTAGACACTGCGACGGAGAGTTTCTTGGGTACGATCTTCTCTCACGAGTCCTAGGGGATCGCACCAGTTGGCTTTAATAGGCTTCGGCCCCATCCAAATTGATATTAGCTCCAAATCATTTCAATCAGCTATTGCTTTTGGTGTTCCAAAATGCCTTCAGTACCTGCTTAGAACCCAGTTAACATAGAAAACCTAACCCGGTTTTCTATGCCAGTTAACTACACAAAGTAGGTGTCCTACATGACGATCACAATCTTAGTGCACTCGGAGTGGCCACCGAGTGACAAATTCTCGCCGGAAATTTAAGCAAGAATATTCAAATAGGCAACCATGTTAGTTTGGCGTTCCCGCTACTACAAAATATGGTCAAATCTACGAGTAAAAAATTAGAGGAGAGAATATAACGGTAGTGGGAAATAGCATAACACGCGAGGGAAGTTGTCATAATATAACTTCCTTTGCGCTGGTCAGTAATGTCGACTTGACTTATCATAAAACAGAAGAGACGATGTCAGTTTTGTTCTATTACACCACTGCCAATAATGACGCGTTTCTCCCCACTCTTCTCGCACTTTTATAGCTTCCTTTTTGTCCATTTCCGTGTCGTCCCCTTTTAATGCAAGGTTCTCTCCTTTTATTTTTTACTCGTAGGGTCACATATTTCGGTGTGACTTGAAGTTGGCGTTATCTCGCCAAGATAGTAGGAGGCTAAGATCATTACAATATAAACCATATAACACACTCCTCGTACCCCTGAGATACTTCGTCCGATTGTAAGATCAGCCTTAAGACTATACAGGGTGGTGACTTGCGTCACGCATCATAGGGATTTCAATGTAAAATTCATAACATGCCATTATTGGCTCCCCAAATTCCTTTAGAGCAAAAATGTATTAAGGTTTTTTGTAGAAAAAATTTTTACGTCAATCAACTGTATCAGTTTTCAATTTTTTGCATAATAAAGACTGAAAATTGGAAAAATAAGACCCCATCTTTTTCAATAATCTGTGATGCCATGGAATTTTATAATACAAAAACTACGCCAATATCCGTCATGCCATGGAATGTCTGCTATAAAACAAATCAAATTCTATCAAAAAGTATTATATTTAGAACAGCGAATTCAACAGAAAGAAGACCAAATTACTAAAAACGGTTTCCTAATATAACAATTTACAATAAATGTTCGAATAAGTCACCATTAACTGCAATACAGTAACCAAGTCGATCATAAAATCCATTTCGAACTGCTGCTAATTGATAAGTGGATATCTTTTTGTTTTAGAAAATTCCATGGCATCGCAGATTATTGAAAAAGATGCGGGTTTTATTTTCCAATTTTCCGTCTTTATTATGCAAAAAATTGAAAACTAATACGGTTGATTGACGTAAAAAATTTTTTCTACAAAAAACCTTAATACATTTTTGCTCTAAAATAATTTGGGGAGCCAATAATCGCATGTTATGAATTTTACATTGAAATCCCTATGATGCGTTACGCAAGTCACCACCCTGTATACTATTCCAAGTTTCTTTTGATCTTGCATCTAAAGTGTGGTTTAAACATGACGCGAATTACACGTCGCAGTTGTTAGTGATTGTGATTCTATGTATCCGAAGCTACTAACGGGCGATCAAAAATGAGTTGCTGTCGAGTCGCCTTTGGAAGTTAAAAAAAGTTAAATACGATTTCCTATGTAAACAAAAGTTCCAAAGGTGACTCGACAGTCGACAGCAATTCATTTTTGATCGCACAGTATTACCATTGTATATACAACTTATATACAAATTGTACTAGCATTGTTTAATTAAACAATGGTACTAGCTACCTATGTAATATACCTAATTCATAGTTTAAGCTTGCGAATAAACGTTTTTAGTCTGCTTAGTGAAATAATACGAATTATAGGCCTTTTGTACGTATATAACACAGAGTCCAGAAGTGTTCAAACAAATTTTACTTAAAGAATTTCAAATTAAATCCGGGTTCTAAGGTGCGACACCGTTAATGAGTATATAGCATAATATATATGGTATATAGTGCCAACGAAATAATTATCACGAACACTCCAAGAACGCTACAAGTACAGCCATCTAACGTTGTCCAGAGGCACGCAGGCTACTATCCTATACGGTACCTGCAAAAATAAGCGATAACCTATTGATTAATTGGCAGCCATCACTTGCTCTTGTCAATTACCCAGCTAAATTAATTTGCCAAAGACATTTAAGTGTATTCAAGTACAAATTATATAAAAAACCACGAATCGATGGTATCTAATGCGGGATGAAAGGTCATACAATAGAGTAAGTATACCTACATAAATAGTGGAAATCGTTTAAACGCACTGTTTAGAGTTTCCATCATAGAGACATAGGATCTGCATCTAATGTCTGACAAAATTCGGCATAGCCTGAACAAATTCTACAAAAATGAATCAAAAAATAGAGGGCGTAGTGCACACATAGATAGCATAATTAAAATTACTGACACTATTTCAAGAAAACTAACCAATATAGCAACTTTAGAGGATTGCGCCACACATGATTTTACATTTACAAATAAAAATGCAGACGTCTACTCCAAAGCATTAAAATGCCATGAAGAGAAGTTACAAGAATACTACTTAAGGTGGTGGGAAAAAGTAGAAAGGGGGGTATTATCGGTCGGCCATGTTTGAGGTATACAAAAGATTGTTATTTCAAACTACTATGTGAGTCATAGGTATTGTCGTCATGTTTAATTAACTTGGGCGTTGAGAGTAATTATAATAGATAAATACTGTTGTTAATACTACACAGAAATTTTGTCATTTTGGAGGAATTGTAAATTCGTCATGTTTGAGGTATTTACATAAGAAGAATGGAATACCCAGTTATTTACTATAAATAACATTCAACACTAGAGACATCTGGAGATTGAAATGTGCATTTATGAAACATTTAAGCGTTGGCCTATCTAGGACCAAAGATTCGTTGCTAGAACTGTTAATTGTTCAATTGTTGACTTTCATTTTTATTGAATTTCATGAAAAACCAAATGTAATAATTTGACTACCAAAATGGGTATTGTAATGACAGCAAGATGAATGTGGCGCTGGCTGTGATCGATTCCTTAATATAGTGACTATATAGAAACTGTTTTCCATATGCTCATATCCGCCATTTTTTTTCCAAATTTATCACTGAGCTTATGGGGGAATCACATATGTATTTTGAGTGTTTATAGACTAATTATATGGTGCGATTTACGCAAATTTTGCACTGAAGTTTCCTTGTAGAGAATTTTATTACCTTCAATGCGCATGTAATAGCCATTTGATTAAATACCTACGGAGAAAACCTTAAAATCAATCCAACATTATTTTGTGTACCTACATAAATCAGGTACCTACGTTTGAAACAGTTGCTTACACATGACACAACCTAATTTCAATTAGTATTGGTTTGCGTACGTATCCCAGATGTTCTATGGTACGTATACCAAACCCATAAAAGGCACGAAATGTAATTATACCCATTAGAATTTGGAATTGTTCAGGCGTAAGTATACTGGAAATAAAAAACAAAGACCTTATTGCCGTTTTCTTTACTATTTAGGTACATTGTTGAGAATAACGCATAATGGAGTTGCTAACGTCTCTACCCACTACAACGTATCATACCATGACCGTAATAGGAACGTGCCAGGCAAAAAAAATATTGTTTGCATGGAATAGTATGAGACTATGCCCACTACACCGTTTAGTCACCGACCAGCACCGTAACGTGCCATGCACGGAGCGTCAACGAATATTTTGACGGTGCCGATACGCTCCGTGCATGGCACGCGACGGTCCTAAACCGGTGCGCGCAGGCGCAGAAATGATGAACATACGAAAGTACATATGACATTTTTTTCGTCATCGACTAGGTCTAAATAATGCTCAATATTCTCCCTCGACTTTTAGTTTCGCACCCTCTTCCTGACGCGTTTGTTTACAAGTACAACCGAGCCAACTGGAACCGTACGGATACGACAGGCAGATGCTCCGGTCACTATACCCGTTACGCACGGGTATGATACGGTCTTGATACGGTCTAGTGGGCATAGTAGTCCGTATCGTATATTTTCCGTGCCTGATACGTTCATAGTACGGTCATGATACGTAACGGTGTAGTGGGCAGATACCTTAAACACTTTTAGGTACTCTTACTTTTCTGACTTGCAATTTTCAGTTTCCGTTTTTCATTCAATCTAGTTTTCTCTCAAAGGTCGTTTTCAAAATGTGTCTAAAATGCAACATGATGGTAGAGATATGAAATGAGTACGAATTTAATTTTACTTACTTCACAAAGGGTGTAGGTGGCCACTTTTCCTTTCTAACTTGAGCAAGTCATTGCTTTCTTCTTTGAGGGTCCCTAATAGGAACCACTTTCATAAGGAATCCTTGCTCGCTTCTGTTAGAACATTCAATAGCGAAGCATCCAACCATTATAACCACTATAAAAAGTACCTATATGAACTGTTTTAGGTTACGCTAATAAGCCCCCCAGGTACGATCATGCAATTGATAGAAATGGCTAGAGGGCACCTTAATAACACGTTTTCAGTTAAAAAATTTGCGGAAGAAGCCTTACGTTTTCCACAATCTTCATTCAACGTTCAATTCATTTCTTCTAGTGCTGATTGTACCGTACTCGACCGCAATCGGTAGATTCAGGAAAAGTCGAGGATACTGTCGATACGGTACTTACTTAACAGTGCGCAGGGGTTTTGTTAATTCGAATTTAAAATTCTCGCACATCGCCCGTGATAGTATTACATGTTACGACACTTATTATTCAGAAAGTTTATTCCTTGTGAATAAGGGTTATTTATGGCTTTATAGGTTATACGGTTATCATTAAAACCGTAATCATTAATGAAGCAGTCACGGGGGTGGTAAAAACTGTAACCATTTGAAGTACGACACCTAATTCTTCGACACTCAACTGTAAGCTCGAAACCCCGAAACCAGGGGCGGGTTACCTATCTTGCAGGAGCGGGATTACGCTAATCAAAGCTCTTCAGTTTAGAATCTATGTGCGATAAATGAGTTACGACTCGTAATTTCCACTTTAGTTAAATTCGCCTACAAGGCCATGTAGTTTTCCATCTTGCTTTTAACAAAAGAACTTTATTGCACCAAAAATGAGTCACACCGCCCTTGTCCATCTTAATTAAGATTTCCGAAAATTTCATCCTGCCGGCCGAAATAAACACTGCTAATATATACAGGGAATTTTTGTTAGATGTATACATATGGGTTATGTATAAGTATAGGTACTTTAAATAAAACCAAATACCTACCTTAAATAAAACTATTCTCATATGTCTATGGATAAAACGGATCAAATGCATGCAATCACTATAGTTAGTATCTCGGCACGAAATAGATGAATGTAGGCAAGTACACATAGCCCACATGTATACATTTTTTTAAAAATTCCCTGTGTGTACGAAACGCAAGCGCAAGGACTTGTAATCGTAGAAGAGTTTTACTTGAACAACCTCATGCTACTGCCCATAGTGTACGGTCCTTAAGGGAATACTACCTACATCCCGAAATTCTCTCATTTTTTCTTCACTCGTTTGAAACTTATTGCTCCGTCCCGGGCTTTTGGGAAAACCTGTACTATACTTACTGTGTTTGAATTGGAGTACAGGAATTTTTCTCCGTATGGTTTAAAAGGAGGCAAGTTCGAGTACTTGACATGAGCCGACCATCAAAAATCACGTTTTTGCACTGGTCTTACATACTATCAGCGATAGTATAGTGAGCATAGATATGGTTTAAGGATCTTATTTTTGAACTTTAGTTGTGATTTGTGAAAGAGAGAATAGGTAAGGCTTACAGGAAGTATTTAAATGAATCATACCTGTTTAATAGTTACCTGCACTTTATATAAATACAATGTATGTTTTGTTTTCTATGTAAATGTATTTTATTTTATCTTAAATTTACTATTCAAAATTTACAGATTTAGCAAAATAAATAAATAATAATAAATACTATGTTAAACATTAGATCTTGTGGGAATTAAGGCTTTAATCTACAAAATAAAGCAGTTGGACAACTAAAGACATTTGTTGATAAACTTATAAATTGAACAATTGAAAGTATAATCATGTAGGTACCTAGGTATCACTACATTCTCACACACACTTCATTTTGAAACATAATGTTTTAAATACCTTGGCTGATGGCAATTCGTCGGGGCCTTACTTCTTTAAATTCCTGAAGGGGTTCGGCAATAGTATTCTTTCTAGGTTCAGAATGCTGTATGCTTTCATGATTAGGAGTAGTAGAAGGAATAATTAAATTTTGGTGATCCTCATCCTTTTCGGTAGAAGGTGAGATTTCAATTTATAAATTCTCTAGATCTAATCTCTTATCACAATTTAATCTACAAACTAAAGCTTTGACAACTGAAGACATTTGTTGATAAATTTATAAATTGAACAATTGAAAGTATAATCACACATGCAATCATCGGAAAGATTGGAAATGATAGCGTATAACGCCATATATAAAACACAAATAAGCCTATTCACCCGGGATCACTTGCTCGCAAGCTCGCTCTGTCGCAAACTTTCTGAATAATAAGCCTCATAACATGCTCATATTCCTATTAAGAGATGTGCGAGAATTTTAGATTGGTTTAACAAAACAATTGCGCACTATTAAGGCCGTCTCGACAGTATCCGCGATTTTGCTTAGATCTACCGATTGCAGCTGAGTTCCGTACAATCAAAACTTGACGCGACACCACTGTCTTCTTTTCTGCTTGACGAAACTGGTAACTTTATACCCATACACAAAACATAAGCATTTCCAATGCTAAAAATGTAATCTTTAGTTTGTGGCGCAAAATTCTTCAAGGCTCGAGAGCGCTGTTTGCTTCAGTGCTGCAATACCTCTTTAATCATTAATGACAAAATTACGATTGTTGTTTACTTTCGCAAGTTGTAGGTTATCAGATTATTTTTTAAGTGATTAGAAGCAAAGAGTACATAACGTATGTATTCTTTGTTAAAAGCTAGGTAGCTAGAGAGGGGGAGAGGGGGAGGGAGGGGGAGGGAGAGAGAGGGCTAGGTAAAAGCTAGGTAGCGTGGGAGTAGTGAGGGGGAGAGGGGGAGGGAGGGGGTTTGTTGCCCCCTGGAAAAATTCTCGATCAAAAGCATACAATAAAATCCCTCCAGCTTCATGCTTTCAGTCTCGAGTTTTTTTCGTTGCAACAAAACTTTCGTGTAAAAATCAAATATCCGATTAAAAATCTGTGTATCTACCTCCAAAAAATGGATTAATGTTTTCGAAGACCAGTCGACATTTTCGTCAATCTTTTTAAATTGTGTGAATTATAGTGGGAAGCAGATCAAACTGACGTGGAAACTTAAGCATGGGCAGTATAGGCACCCAATTAATATTTTTTGTTGACATCATATATTTTTAGATTCACCCCTTTCAACCACTTGTTATAGATATAGACAATGCATTATTTTTCATACGCCAAAAAATTTTGCCAAATGAGTTGTGAATTTCTCAAATTATTGTAACAGTATTCAACTTTTTCTGCGTTCTTTAGGTTGCACAAACAAAACTATGTATATATTCAAATGTAGTATGTATGTAATGTAAATATTACACTTTCAAGAAATTACATTGAAATAAATGAGATACAATTAGGTGGATCCAAAATCTGTTGACATTTTAATGACGGAATGATTAATGCTACACCACTGAATAATCGGTATGTTATCCACGGTCACTTTACACATTCTAACCTCAATGTACGCTACCGTTTAATTTACTACTACTGTCATTTCGGTTAACAAGGGAAAGGTGTAGTCTACACAATCTGATACAAAAACCATCATGAAAACCTTCATCCTGTTACTCATATGATGAGATAAATCCACAGTAATAAAGCGTTAATTAATACAAACGAACTTAAACCCTGAATTGGAATGTGTAATGTTCTAGACTTTTAGTAAGTATGCTATTAGTTTTTGCAAATTACTATTTTGCTTATTTCCCAGATTATAAACTGTTACAATGAGTCGGCAGATGACACAAAATGAACGAAAACTGGCTGAAAAGCTAATCATTCTAAATGATCGAGGAGTGGGAATGCTGACTCGAATTTACAACATAAAAAAGGCCTGCGGAGATGCAAAGTCAAAGCCAGGATTTCTATCTGACAAGACACTTGAATCCTCAATTAAGAACATAGTTCGCAGATTTCCAAATATCGACGTAAAAAGCTTGCAACCCCTTCAACCAATTAGAAACGAGATTATAAAGTCTTTATCTTTGTATTATTACACATTTGTGGATTTACTCGATTTTAAAAACTGTGTTTGCGAGTTCTTAACATGCCTCGATGCGTGGCAAGTGCATTTAGATATATCTGTAAATTTTGAACTGACGAAGAATTATTTAGATTTGGTTGTAACTTATGTGTCTCTTATGATTTTGTTGTCGAGAGTTGATGATCGTAAGGCAGTATTAGGTTTGTTTAATGCTGCTCACGAAATGGTACATTCGCAACATGATTCTAGTTTTCCACGGTTGGGAAGTATGATAATTGATTATGATATGCCGATTAAGAAACTATCTGAAGAGTTTGTAACCCATTCTAAATTATTGCAAGGTGCTTTACACTCACTTCTTCCTATATTTCCAGTTAGAAATGTATCTGCGGATCAGTGGAGAAGTGAGTTAAAACTGAGTTTGGTGGGGAATCCTGGTCAGCTACCGAAACCTGTGACTTCAGAACGAATATCATGTGAATACCTCTCTTTGGAGTTAATGGAACGTTGGGTTGTGTTTGGATTTATGCTTTGCCACCAAGGATTGCAGCATGAATATTTTAATAAAATGTGGGTGAGTGCTTTAGATTCTTCGTGGGTAGTTCCATTGTTTCGTGATGAAGTTGTCTACATTCATTCTTACATTCAAACTTTCTTTGAAACCATCAAAGGTTATGGGAAACGTATTTCGGAGGTTAAAGATTGTTACAATCAAGCAGTACAGAAGGCGGGATATCGCCACCGAGAGCGGCGTAAATTTCTAAGGACCGGCTTGAAGGAAATTGGGTGGGTGTTGACTGATCAGCCTGGGCTTTTGGGGCCGAAAGCGCTTATGGTATTTATAGGGCTGTGTTTAGCCAGGGACGAAATTTATTGGCTTTTAAGACACAATGATAATCCACCCCAGCAGAAAGGTAAAGGAAAAACTGCCGAAGATTTGGTGGATAGGCAATTGCCTGAGCTTTTGTTTCATATGGAAGAGCTGCGAGTTCTAGTTAGGAAATACAGTCAAGTTATGCAAAGATACTACGTCCAATACTTGGCAGGATTTGACGCGATTACTCTCAAGCATATCATACAAAATCTACAGGTTATTCCCGAGGATGAAAGTATGATTTTATCTTCTTTGTGTAACACGATTTCAAACTTATCGGTAAAACAGGTGGAGGATAACGAAATATTTGATTTCCTCGCATTCCGATTAGACTGGTTTAGGTTACAAGCTTATATGTCGTCGAGTAAATCTCCTTTGTCCATTATGGATAATAAAGATTTAGCTTCGTTTCTTGACGGCGTCCAATTCCATACGCGAATGGTGGATCACTTGGATGATATTCTAACTGAAACATCGGATTTGTCGATATTCTGTTTTTACAGCAAAATTTTTGAAGACCAATTTCACATGTGTCTCGAATTTCCTGCACAAAACAGATACATCACAGCATTTCCATCAATATGCAGCCACTTCCAAAATTGTACCCATGAATTGTGCCCAGAAGAGAGGCATCATATTCGTGAGCGTAGCTTGTCAGTTGTTAATATGTTTTTGGACGAGATGGCAAAGGAAGCAAAAAACATTATCACTGCCATCTGTGATGAGCAGTGCAAATTAAGTGACAAATTGTTGCCAAAGTATTGTGCAATATTAATATCGCAACAAATGAACCGTAAGAAAAAGGACAAGAACAAAAAGAATGCTATCGAAATTGAAAAACCCGGGAAGGAGAGCTATCGGAAGACTAGGGAGAATCTAACAACAATGGATAAGCTGCATATGGCCTTAACAGAACTGTGTTATGCGATCAATTACTTTTCAACAATTAATGTGTGGGAGTACACGTTTGCTCCAAGGGAATACTTGTATCAGCATTTAGAGAACAGGTTCGCGCGCGCCTTGGTTGGGATGGTAATGTACAATCAAGACACAAACGAAATCGCCAAACCATCTGAATTGCTGGTAAGTGTCCGTGCTTACATGAATGTTCTGCAAACAGTAGAAAATTACGTACACATTGACATTACGCGCGTTTTTAATAACTGTCTACTGCAACAAACTCAATCAGTCGACAGTCATGGTGACAAAACAATCGCATCTCTCTACACGCAATGGTACTCGGAAGTATTACTGCGTCGCGTTAGCGCCGGAAATATCTGCTTCTCAATGAATCAACGAGCCTTTGTAAGTCTAACAGCGGAAGGAACAATTCCATTTAATCCAGAAGAGTTTTCAGATATAAACGAGCTCAGAGCACTTGCTGAACTAATCGGCCCCTATGGCATGAAATTGCTAAACGAAACCCTAATGTGGCATATTGCCAGTCAAGTTCAAGAATTAAAGAAGTTAGCAGAAGCGAATAAGGACGTACTTCTTTCCTTGAGGACCAACTTTGACAAACCCGACATAATGAAGGAGCAGTTTAAAAAATTAGCAAACGTCGACAATGTATTGCAGAGAATGACAATCATTGGTGTTATTTTAAGTTTTCGAAATCTTGCCCAATCGTGTTTGACTGATGTCTTAGAGGAGAGGATCCCCTTCCTTCTCAGTTCCATTCTTGATTTTCGACATCACTTGCCTAGCGGAGATCCAATGAAAGTTGTAAGTGAGATGACTTCGGCCGCGGGAATACCTTGCAAGGTAGATCCGACGCTAACCAATGCTTTGAAACTTCAAAAGCCCGAGTTGGATGGAGAAGAACATCTTCTGGTTTGCCTTTTAATGGTGTTTGTAGCTGTGTCGATACCAAAACTCGCAAAATCCGAATCTTCATTTTACAGAGCATCCCTTGAAGGGCACTCGAACAATATTCATTGCATGGCCCTTGCCATAAACAATATCTTCGGTGCCTTGTTTACAATTTGTGGACAAGGTGATATTGAAGATCGCATGAAGGAATTTTTAGCACTTGCATCGTCTAGTCTATTAAGATTAGGTCAAGAAGCAGACAAAGAAGTGATCAAGAATAGGGAATCTGTCTACCTACTACTGGATTTAATTGTGCAGGAATCTCCATTTCTGACCATGGATTTACTAGAATCTTGTTTCCCCTATGCATTAATCCGAAATGCTTATCATGCTGTATTTAAACAAGAGGCTGCAATGGTTTAAAGCGTAATATTGTTACATACCAATTTATTAAGTACAAAAGTCAGTCGTAATGATATTTAATGCAACATTCGCTAGAGTTAGTATTATTAGATTGTAGCTCTAATAGCTTTAAGAATTTTATATCGAGGTGTAATCAAAATAATTAAGTTTTTATACTGCAAGTACAGATAGGTAGGTACTACTGCAATAAGTAAAATATGTAATAATAGTTGTTTATTTATTTTTACTCTTTTGTACATAAATATTCTCATAATAGTAAAATAAATTGTGCAAAATTACCAACATTGTGTACTTCGTATTGCTTAAAATATGATGAAGCATGTCGTTAATTGAAACATTTGAATTGCTGATAATTGATCTGGCTATTACTTCAACAATACAAATATTGCTATAATATAAAAGATACCGTTCTACCAGAGGTGACTAGCCAAAAAGATTTAGGCATCAGAGTTACCAACGACATGCGCTGGACTGCTCAAACTAAAATTGCCTATCGAAAAGCTACAAGTTCTCTATACCTATTAAAGAGAATATTTCCCAATCCCGATCCTAAAATGAGACAATTATACTGCACCTACATCAGACCACACATTGAATTTTCCGTAAGCGTTTGACGGCCACTCCATAAAGGGGACCTCGTATTCTTTCAGAGGTTGCAGCATGCAGCAACAAGGTGGAATCTAAGTTTGTTGGCTTTGTCATATGATCACAGACTTAAAATTTTAGACTTGTCTACTGTGACCGATAGACTGAACAAGGGCAAAACTTTATTAAAATTACTGATAACTTGATAACCAGAGGTTGAGAGGGCATAACTATACACTTATCAAAGAAAATTGTAAAACAACAACAGCACTTCTTAACAAACGGAGTTTATCTCACTTCCCAACAGAGTTGTAGAAGCACAAAGTGTCAATCAATTTAAGAAATTACTTGATTCCAATTAAATACAATGATTGTATAATATAGCAAAATTTGCATAAAAGGAACCTCCTCTGCAAATTGTCTAGACTTAATAATAATACCTACAGGGTAACATATCAAAAATGAAACAGAGCTACATATTTGGATACCTAAAAATAATCTTGCGTTGTAGTTTATTGCTGTTGCCCCAACCTTTACAATTTTGTATTGCTACAATCAGCTCTTCGTAACAAAGTATTAAATGTTATTGTAACATGCAACTATACGAAAGCAGTAGACCTGAAATGCAAATTTGAAAAATTTCTTGATTTCATTATTGCATGGATGCTTCATCTAAATGTATTATAGTGTTTTAAGGTCTACGCCTAATCATTGAATAAATTTTATTCATAGCCCTAGTCCAGTCATTCTATGCCAAAAATTCGCAAATAGAAAAAATAATTCGTGTAGTTCCAATCGTTATGGGAATGTGGTTGAAGGTCCCCTGATGATTGTGTAAATACCTGAGTGATGTTGGTGCCGCCGAAGGGAGGAAAGGAGGTTGAAGTTACAGTTTTTCGGTTTATCTTGAAAATAGTGGATCGTATGAAAAATTTTCTTATCAAAATCGAAAGCTCATAAAATTTTCTATATACATTCTTTCCAAAAAAAAACCCATCGTATGCGGTCGAACTTTTCCTTTAGCTCGTACCTGTTCACTTTTTACGTGTAGAGAATTAAATTCCCTTTAAGAAACATTGACAATTGTGGTGCTTATATGTTTCAATAGTCGCGCGCGTTACCTACTTCGAAAGTAAGGTGTTGGTAGTAGAACAATATGGCAAAAACTAGCTTGTAAAACTTCCAAGTGCAGCAGTGGCTGGACTCCCTCCAGAACAATGGGGTTGGAAAAGAAGTGGACACCTTCACCTAGTAAGGAACACAGCTCCGCGAGCCCCAGAGGAAATTTTACAAGTTATTTTTTGCCGTTGTTCTACTACCAACTGCGGTGCAAGAAGGCTGGCATATTTTGCACCACTGATGGCCAATTGCTCCGACAAAATTATAAGTATCGCTTAAAGTTAAGCATAACTTAATCGTTGCCATAGATTTTAAGTTCGACTTAACTTTAAGCAATGCTTAATTTTGTTGGTGCAAATGGACATTACTGTGCTAACTACCAAGGGAGCTGCCTTAACTCTCCACCAATCCTAGCAGAAAATGAAGAGGATGTAGGTGATCCTCATGTACATGTACATCTGAATTGGACACTATATATTCGCTCATGAAATTTCACATTTTTGCTGTAGGTAAACTTGAACTGTCAATTGTCGAAGTATAAACACCACGCAAGTCTATTCTTGAAGGAAATTTAATTTCCTACAACCATCCTCTTCCACTTGTAATGTAATGAGCTAGAGGAAAGTTCGACTAAAACGTGAGTTTTTTGAAAAAAAATTATACAGGGTGAGTTTTTTTTCACTTCCACTATAGGGATCTCGTAAACCGTAAAAGATACAAAGTCGGTTAAATGGGCAAAGTTATAGAGAATTTTATGCTGATTAATTATCCTAATCCATAATTTCTTGTAGGTCTACAAGCAAAGTTAAGTATAGCCAAAAAACGGAAAAATGTATTTTTCGAAAATGCGCTGATGGCGTTCATTCATTTTCAAAGATATGAAAAAATACTTTTAACAAACCCTTGTGTGATTTTTTCTCAGATTTCTGACGGTACCAAAATAATATAACATCACATCAACTTTTATTAAGTACTTTAAAGGATCAACTCTCTTCCACCTTAGAAATTCTCCTTCTTTAAGATTTCGTAAAGAGACAGCCAATCAAAACCAAATTTGAATACTGCCAGCTTCGAAATAATCTGCGTACCTGTTGCCCACCTGCTCTCCTACTATTAATAGGTAGGTAGGTATTAGTAGGAGAGCTGGTAGACATTTTTGGGTAAGTATTTGAGGCATGTAATGGACTTTGAAGGCCCCTGGCAAAGTGTTAGCCCCGCCACTCCTCAGCCAAGTCTGCATTTCTGTGTTTGGGTATTATTGGAGAAGTGTTGGACAAGTTTTCAGCGTGCCTCAAATACCTAGCCAAAAATTTCTACCAGCTCTCGGACTATATAGCTTGTTCCTTGACCATAGTGTGCATGTACATTTTGTAAACTGTCAAAATAGTCGTAAGAACTGCTGAACCCTGCAGGAGACGGTACAACACTTTTTGCCACTGATTCCACTACTAACTTGTTTCCCTTACACTAAACAATATTTTGGAGCTCATGGTGACAAGCAACTCGCACAGCGGCTGCGGTTAAGCTGCTCTGGGAGCGGTAGTGACGCGCGGCTGTAACTGGAGACGGCCGCCGCACGTTAGAACATGCTTCCATTGCTTTCTATTGAGACGGTACATTGCGTCAGCCGCACTGCATCAGACGCTTCATAGGAAATGTACCTTAAGTGGGTATGTATTTAAATAGTTTGAAGAATGTGTCGCTACGTTAATGCTCGAAGTAATAATAATTTTGCTGTTCCCAAAAAAGTCAAGTGTGAAGTTGGTCCCACCCATGACTTGTTTTTAAAGAAACAAACATATGATCGTCAGTGCTGTTTGGTGCTTGCTTGAATATTGCGAGTCTAGCGTTTTACCTTTTTTTTTGAGACCATATTAAATAAACAAATCCAAATAAACAAATTACAAGGCAATCAATTTAAGTAATTCTTATACAAAACCACACTGAACTTCAAATTGAAATTAATAAAAACGAACTGTGTTTAATTGAAAAGCAGCGACTAAATTTACACTAAAAAAATGTATATTCCACATACAGGGTGACCCATTATTATTATAGCTGCCCAGCCCAAACAAGACGTCTGCATGACATTGTTTATACAACAATCTTCCAATAGCAAATTTTAATTAAACATCATTTTTAGTGCATTTTTGGAAACAAAATATGCTATTATATTCGTTACAGGTGGCTGGCTTTCCGGCTGATATTTCAGTTTACAATAGCTACACTTCAAATTTTCACTAAAACCTTTCTGCTATAGTGTGCGTGTGCAAGCTCTAGTCTATTTTGAGTTAGATTACTCGTGAGATCGATAATTTAAGAAAAGATAGAGAAGTAAACAAATATTGTGGCGAGAAAATTTACTGTCATGGGAAAACTTACTTTGCTAATAAAATACTGATCTGTAACACCAAAAATATGCCATAATCATGCATATGCTAATTTACTTCTGGTTTCAATAAATATAAGAAATCTAAAAGTAACTTGGCATATTTTGAATTCAAAACACTTCACTCGAAGCTGATGTAAATATCGTGTTCTATTTTAGATAAAACCCCAATGGTCAGGAATGATTACGTATGTTTTCTAAGATTGAAAGTGATTACTATGCAGCAGGTTATTGTCATGCAGGTATTGTGAGATGCACGTCTGAAAGTATAAAAACAGCATCATGTAACAATTCGTAGTTGAAAGAAAAACTGCACAAATGAAAAATGTATTTTATTTATATTACAGTTCACAATTAATACATTTATTATTCTTGGAGTCTTAAATGCCATCTCAATTATCAATGGTCTCTGGTACATGTATTTAAGCTCACATGCACAACAATAATTGGTCAAGAGTTTGGATAATACATGCTGATAAATGAAAATTAGAGTATTAATCATTTCTTTATAGCAGGTAAAATCCACAACTCCAAAAAATGGTAAATGTACAGACTTCTCATATAAAAACAAATTTATGTACAAATTGTACAATAAAAAACAACACACACTGTGGCATCAAATATACTCTTTTTTCTTGATCATGTAGAAATGAATCATAAATTTTTAAATGAAATTTTTACAGAAAGTTTTGTTCGCAATTAATATTATCACAATTGCCAGCTAATTTAACAATGTTCGTAACATCATAAAATTTACACATTCATATGCAATTACAAAAATAGTCACTTCACACAAAGATCATCTTTGAGAAGGAAGTTAGGTATATCTACAATGAGATCTGCACTTTAGATAAATATTTATAATATCAATTATACTTATTCTCAATTAATAAAATTCAACTTTCTCGCAAAGCAAATTATAAGTTTTATTACTTCAATACACTTAAATTTTTATTTTAGGTGAAAAGATTACGAAGAAGGGTTCAAAGTGATATTAAAAATGAGATGAAGTGATGAAGTTATAATGTAGTAGAGCTAATAACTTAAATACATATAAAATTGCACCAATAAATTTATCACAGAAACCAAGAAAGACAAAAATACTGCAGAAATGCTAAGTAAAACATACCTAATAAGTTTGTGTTTTTGAGTATAATTTACTACCATTGAAGGAAGATGACTAACTGCTAGATCTATTAAGTAATATATAGATGTTTTCATATAAATACTGTAAATAATCAAAAAGACTAGGGTACTTAAAATCGTACAAATAGTAATAAGGAAACCTTTTCATGAACTTTTCACCTAAATTCATTCAGTTTCCAAACAATGATGTTAAGCAGACTCAAAAGCTCACTCAACTGCTAGACAATGCATCTAATAATGACCAATTGGAGGGCACTATTAGATAATGTGAGTTACAATACAATAATGTGAAGACATACATGATAAAATTAAGCAATTGTTACATGTTTTTACAATACTTAACAATTTTTTTTACAAATATGTAAAACTTTGTTAAAAACAAGTCCCAGAAAAAAGGTCCACAAAATTTGTAAATACTACACTTCCTAAAATTTCCAATTTAAGAATTGCATTTTAAAAGAACACAAAAACTGAGCAGAATTGGGTTTATTATTCAAAAACAACAGCTCAATTTAAGAAATGCAACTCCAATTGGTGTCAATTTACAACACGATTATAAATCAGCCTTTCATCAAATAGGAAGCTAATTAACTTTACAACAAAAACTGTTATTTAAAATACTTACACGATATAATAACTGTAAGGGTATGTACGATTTTAACTAAAACTATTGGTGACTATATTGAAATTCACCCGTTTTAATCCAATCAAATTGTTATTACTTCACGCATTTTTAAAACATTACGTGTTTCAAATTTTAATCACAGAACACTGACCTTTAACAGGTTTATTAATTCTATCCAGCAAATGTTGAACCACTGTTTCTTGCACTTGAGTCCTCACCTTGAGATATAACAAGGTTACAACTGGGCACATTTATGGTAGAACTGCTAGTCATTGTATTTCCAGATGGCCCTTCAAAGTGTATATTGGCCATAGGATTACCGGGGTACTCAGGTGGAGGCGAAACCCGCGTATCCCCAGTATTACCATACTGTCAAACCTTTTGTTGGCGCATTTCATACGCATTCCTGTCATATGCGCCTGCATACAACTCAGGATGATTATTCGTCCTGACATTATAACTAGATGGGGGAGCAGTTGCTAGTGGGGAATAATCTATTATATTACAAAATACATTAGTACACATTCGCTATAACACAGAAACAAGTTTTCTGTGCTATAAACGAACAAAAGGAAATAAACAATAAATTATTAAAATGATTTTTGATGATAAAACTATTACATTAATAAAAAGTAAAAGAATACATTGTTAGTTTTAGTGTTTCTATAAGGCATACAGCAATTAAGTATGTCAAAAAATATGAGCAATATAAGCAACCAAAAAACATTTTTTCTAAATAAACCAAAGCCTCATTTGGGCGCTATAACGCATCCAAAAGTTCCAACTGTTTAGGTCCCCTCTATCACCTGTTTTTTTTTTACATAGTTAGTCGTTACACTCTGTACAAAATATATTTTCAATACTCCAAATATATTTATGTTAAACGTTTTATGATAAATATTGCCCAACTCTGAATCCACATGCTTTAAAAATTAGGATGATTTAAAAAAAGATGCAACTCAAACATTCCATATTTGCATAGTATAAAGAAGGCACAATAACATTTTGACAATGTAAGCATGGGACACAAATTTGCAGGTATCACAACAATCTTTACTTTGTATCAAAAGTGTATAAAGCAATTATCATCAAAATCACTTAAAACTTAAATACACTGAAGCTTACCTTTTGGTGCATAGTACTGCCCTCTTCCTTGGCCATATCCCGCACGAGGACCTTGGCTTGCTGAAGGTCGACTAGATCTGTCACCTCTGCTGCGTCCTGCATTAGAGGCTGTAGCTGAATGATGGCCATTGTAATGTCTCTGTAATCCAAATAAAACAGCATATGAATTTATATAAATTTATTAGGCTAATCACAGAAATTGAGTTAAATAAATATTAGTGTTAAAACAAAAACAAACAAAAAGTTGGTAAAACTGAACACAAGTATTTAAATGTTTTGCTTTTAAACCACGAACAAATTCACAAAGATTTTCAAACAATTTTAACTGGTATGGGTACAGAACATGATTAAGATGTAACAGAATATGATTGTAGTCACCAATCCTGGAAACAAAGAAACTGAGAAAATTGGTAGTAGTACCTGAAGCAGTAAGTAGAAAATATTAAACCTCTCGCCAGGAAAGATTGCCGGTCACAGAACACTTGATCCCGATCTACAATCTATGTTTTTCTAAAGATGTGAGCGACTTCCGGGTTAGTGTCGCGGCAATGTTGAACAAAAAGACCTTTCGTTCAACATTAGCACGATTGTATTCCGGAAGTCGCTCGCATTTTAAGAAAAACATAGATTGTAGATCGACACAAGGTCTGCTGTGACCGGCAATCTTTCCTGGCAAGAGTAACATTAAAGATAGCAAAGCCCACTTCACGCCTTTGGGAGTATAACTTTTATGAAAGAACAGTGTTCACGTTTGTATAAATCAGAAAACTTTAGACAAATGCAAATTTTCTCTTTAGGCTGCTGGTTTTTTATTCTTAGAGGAAGATAGAACTGCAGCAAACTTTTTAAGGGTCTAGTTTGATACCTTATCTACTTGTTCGTTTGGATCTCATCAGAATGTCCTTCAACACTACCAAAGTGGGCTGACAGATGATACTGTAGCAAAAACTCCAATTATTCAAGTTTAAAAATATGCGGGTATTGCCCAAAATTGCTAACTTGCTGTTGCTGTCGAGCCACCTTTGGAATTTTTGTTTACATGAGAAATCGTACTTAATTTGAACTTCCAAAGGCGACTCGATATTTTGTGCCTGTTAGTGTGTATGAGTACATGTAAAACTCAGTCAGTCGGCACCTTGCATTCATTTATTAAAAATGAATTTCTCCGATTTCAATTGTAATACATTCCGCCCACTGTTTGAAAATCCTACTGAACTTGAGATATCGAAAAAGTACAAAGAGTGATCTTACGTTGGTGAGGCAAATCGTACACACAATCCCGTCACGGAGTAAATAAATTGAAAACTTCAAGTGATATTAAGAAACAGTAAAGTGAGAAATAAGATTAAATTATCATCACGAACTGTTATAATTATAATGGAAGGTATTTTAGAGCAAACCAGTAAGCAATTGGAAGAGTTGAAGATAAGAATGAAGCACATCAAGAGTAAGATGGACGAGTGTCAGAAATAAAATAAGAAAACACAATTTTCAAATGAGAAAATGAGCAGCTAAAAAGAATGTTAATGCAACAAAGCTCAAGAATGGACTACCTAGAGAAAAAAATTAAAAGGAACAATTTGCTGGTGTATGAAATTACTGAAAATGAAAAACAGAAAAAAAACTGTAGGCTTGGGCAGAATATGGAAAAAAATGGACGAAAACTGAAGAGGTAACCAAAAATTACCTATTGTATAAAATACCGAAAAATTTAAATTTAAGGACACCAAAAGACACACGCTAACGCATATTCCAGGAAAAAACAACAAAGTAATAACAAATGAGAAAGGAATATTGGATAGATGAAAGGAGTATTTCCAAGAACTATTGAATAGAAATGAACAGCAGGAAAATATCCAACACAAAAGAATACAGGATAACCAGGAAGGAAACGAAGGAAATTTGGACTTTGAGATACGTATATAGGAAGCAGTAAACATAGTGAAGAGGTTGAAGTATGGAAAGGCCCCAGGACACAACAAAATAACAACTGAAATGATCAAACAGTTAGGGGGTACAACGGCATGGAAGGAGGATACATAAAATTGCAAAAACTACGGAGAGGTAACACTGCTAAACACGGCCGCAAAAAATTACAAAAATATATTAGAAGCAGACAATAGAGTACCAGCTGGAAGAATCACAAAGTTAATTCAAAAAAGGAAGCTGGATCCCATATTTTATATTAAACAAATCACGGAAAAACTTTAATGGAACGGAACGTTGTATACTTAGCATTTGTAGATCTTGAGAAAGCATTCGACAGCATATCGCAATTGATTGTTTGGGAAAGCCTAAAAGAAGAGCAATAAACATGCAAATAAATAATATGAAGTCTGATAAATTCAAGGGAGCTTCACACAACAAAATTAAAGTTATTTGGGATTTAATTATTTATACATGTATGAATACCCAAATTTCTTGAAAACACAAAGGAAATATGTACTTACCATTCTTCTTAAAGTATTCATTGGCCTCCTAAGGGTCTCACTTAATCTACGAGCAGGAGGTTTCTTTGGATTTGATGATGGTGTATGTACAGCACAGCACTTTATAAATAATCCCATAAAAATGATGAATCCGATACCAATTAAAAGAACGGCCCACCAATATTCAGTTATCCATTGGGCAACATTCATTAAGGTTTCCTTATTTAACAAAAGGTTCATAAGACGAACAAGTGGCCCATCTGCATCAACAGCCCTACATTTTAAAAATACATCACAATAACCCTACAAATAAAGGTTACTTTTAAAATATTTTGTGCTAAGGATGTCCGTACTTGAAAATTGTCACACGGTGATCCTGGTCGTAAGCTAATTCCACCTGGGGGTAATCCTACTAAGTGAGCAAACTCACTGGTACTTCTACAAATGTCAGTACCATTTTGGCAGGCAAGTTCACATAATTTTCTCTTGTCCATGTTTGGATGATCCTGGGACGTTAACGAGCAGGCTGTTAAATTCCACTCCAAGCAAATAGATCCTGTACAGTCTCCCTTAACGCACAACTGTGTTCCATTATTACATCTAGTTTTGTCAGGTCTCGGTGTAGGTGCAGGACATTCAGCCGAAAACCCATTGCACTTGGAAGATCTTGAACAATCAGATTCAATTTTACACACTTCTTCCCTGTATGCTGGAACAAAGGCGCATGTTTCTCCACTACAGCACGGGCCTTGACTAGGGCTAAAAAACACAAGGTAATGTTCAGGAAAACATTAACACAAAAATTACCTGCATTGAGTATCCCGTCTTCGATGACACCCTTTAGCACTAGCATTGTTTTGTTTATCCTCCGGATCGACAATGCGTGGGTAACAACAAATATCGGAACACTCATTAATATCATAGCCACAATCACATTCTTCACCAGCTTCAACAATTTTGTTCCCACAAAATGCTCCAGCAGAAGCAGTAAAACAATTACGTTTCTTATTATCTTCAATTGCATCCAAAACGTTCGATATGTTTCCAACACTACAACCCGAAAAACGGCTATTATTGGGGCGATCACCGCTGGTGGCGGACGCGAACATGATGAAATTCCCATTCAAACCGCCAGGTCTACATTCTGGTGGATAATCATGCTAAAAGGAAAATAAACAAACATAAATTTTCCTGTAATTCATACATACAGGTGATCCAAAATTGTGACCAATCTCATGAGCCAAAGTTAGCTGTGACACTTTTGGAGGGACACGTGAGTTATAATTCACAAACGTAATTATCCCAGTATTCAAAGACCTTTTTGTAGACTGGTACATGCCACCAATGGTTTCTGTATATGTTTTATACTTTTCACAAATACCACCAGAAGCGCCAGATGCTGATGCAACCCACGCTAATCCTAAAGTGCCGCCAGTAAAATCCCTGTAGGTGAATACATACGCCAAACAAAAATCTTCATGATTTCCCAAAGAATGAATATTCAAAAAATTACTAACATCTATATTTTCCATACAAAATTGATTAATTTCGCAATGACGATGGGTACAATTACAGGCGGAGTAATCATCAATCTGCAGATATAAACAATGAAACCACAGCAGTTTGCCACTTCAATACTACCTTAATCCGCTGAACTTCAAATTTAATATTACGATGTTCGCTTCTACCATCAAACTTCGTATCACGATATATATAATTCACGGCAGTAACATGATGTGCAATAAGAGATAAGATTTCCTCTCTGGTCTTATCATTGACTTCCATTTCTTTTCTTGGGTCAGTGTGCTAAAAGCCATTTTTCATTATTAGTATAATACATCGTATCTATGGACTAGCACTAGAAGATCAAAGGAATGCGAGAGTAAAAAAAAACAAAAATAGATTCATTCTCGCATTAATACGAGCCCTAACACATAAATATTCGGACATCTAGCATTTTTTAAATAAAACCGAAAAAAAAATAAAACCAGTCCAATGTCAATAAAGCCGCAGATATCTTATATAGAAATATGTATTATAAGTTTATTGTTTATGTTTATAATACCAAAAAACAATTTTTTAATGCGCTCACGACATGAAAATGGGAAAACCAGCGAAATTAACTGACACATAAATGTTCGGAAACCATATATATTTGATAGTTTGATCTAGGTAACAGGATAAAAACCAAAAAAATTATAATTGTTATAACTTGTCAGCACACTTTGACATTTTGTTAAAAGAAAAATGGCACATGGCAAAGCAACACGGAAAGAAATTCGACAATTAATAGTAAAGTGGGTTCATAAGGGAAAATGCTTTTGTACAATAGGTCAGGAATTCAATTTGCCCATGTCCACGGTGGTAGTTATTGTAACAAAGTATGGGAAAACAGGAAGACGGCCAACAGTTACCCCTAGAATGCAGAAAGCGTTGATAACCATTTGCAGCTCTGGACGAAGAGACACAGTACGGAATCTTACGGTAAAATTGAACGAAGTAACAAATGCTCATCTTTCTACCTAAACCTGTCGAAGGTGGATCCACAAATCAGGTTTACATTTTTATAAAGTCAGTTGATCTTTAGGTTAAAATGATTGAGCATTAGAAAATACTTTTTTAAATAGGCGAAAGAAAAACATCTTTAAAACACAAAACTAATAAAGAAGAAGTTGGATTGGGTTCGGGAACGGCCGGCGTGGTCTTACCAAGACTGGTAAAAATCATTTTTAGTAATGAATCTCAATTTGATATCAATGTATGGGGCAGTATGTCTGCAAATGGGCTGGGACAATTGCACTTACAAATGGTAATGTTTATGCTCAGAAATATCAAGCAATTTTAGAACAAAGTTGATTGCCTTCACTTGCGACATTATCACCTGATGCCGACTTTGTTTTTCAACAAGACGGAGCATCATGTCACAGGAAAAAACGACTAAGAAATGGTTATAAGACCACAATAATAGTGTTTTAGAGGTGCCCTCAAGCAGTCCAGGTCTCAATGTCATTGAGACAGTATGATAAAATGAAGCAACGTTTGCGTATCCATCCGCAACGCAATATTGCTTCTTTGAGTGAAAAGTTACAAGAGATTTGGGATACCTTTGGCATCGATCAATGTAAAGCTCTTGTGACGACCATGCCTACACTAATCCAAGCTGTTATTAAAGCCAAAGGGGATGTAACTCATTGTTAAGGGGTGGTGTCCGAACATTTTTGTGTCACTTTAAATTCTAATTTTATGGTGTTTTGTTATTTGACAGTTGAAATTAAATAATTTTGCAACAAAATATAAAATTAGAGTTACTAAATATGTTTAATTAATAACTATAGTAAGAAAAAAAAATAAATAAACATACAATGATTTTTGTAAAATTTTGAGTGTCCGAACATTTATGTGTTAGGGCTCGTAATTTACAAAAAAAAGAAACACAAACCTCTGGAAAACCTTCTCTGATGTGTCTCCAAATTAGGGGATCAGTCTGTATATATAATGAACATGTATTTTTATTTTCTTCTCTAAGTCGAGTTGCACGTTTATGTCTTACATGTTCATTTGCTTCCCTAGAATACTTATTAATTGTATCTTCGTGATTTACAGGAAATGATAATGGTCTTATATCTGATTTTGATTTGTGATGCTCTAAGTGAACTTTCTTTTGAACTTTTTTGGCTTTTGGAATCGGAATTGGTGCTACATCATCTTCAACAGCTGAATTTTGTATCCTATCCATCCACTGAATTACTTCGTCAGTGATACCGCAACCTCCTCCATGTCCTAAGTAAATAAGCTTTCAGGTTTTCAATTTACAGTGCATCAGTGATACAACACAATCAAATCACACGCACGTACATTTCACGCTATTTACTTCATAAAAAACAATGTGACAATTTTGTCAATATAATGAAGGTGAAAGTATTACAAAGTGTACCTAATTTTCTTTCTAACAAAACCATATTTGATTAATAATTAGTGAAAATAAAAAAGCCAATTTACATGATTTCTCGAAATAAAATTGAGTAATCTATCATTAATCTCTCTGGATAATTATTTCAACATTTATTATAAACCGAATAGTACAATGTGATTTTAATATTAATTAAGTATAGTTGATTCCGTTATTGTTGTACCTACCTTTGTTTGTAAAACTATAAAGGAGATTAAAAAACTTATCATTAAACAAAAATGTGTAAATTTGAAAAATGCACACCCTACTCATTTCTCTTTTGAAACAATTTCCTGTTCATATTGTACTACAGGCGACCCCCATGGCCATGGTAAGCTAAACCACTGGCGCGCAGCCGTCTCCTAGCAACTTAGCATTGTGCACGTTTTTCAGCCACCATTGACTAGAATTTCTAACAGTAACGAAGCCATTGGGTACATTTGAATTTGCCGCTCATTCGTATTTGTGCTTTTCTGTAGGTCATATATAAAAGTATGGGTAGTATACCTACCATCCCTTTGATTGTCATAAGGGTCCTTGACATGAGCATCATTATAGATCACAGAATGGAAAGTTTTGTTTGGGTGCTCCTTGGAAGGAAAATAATGACGTGCTTTTTCTACATAATATGATCCTGTTGGCGATACAATTTTACCTTCAAATACTCCATCTATGAGCGACCCATATACAGTACTCTCTGGTTCATCTAAAAAAGATAACTAAATTAGACCAATAGTCAATGTAGGTGGCCGTAGATAATAGTAACTGGGAATGACATTTTAAGATTTAATTTAGCCTCTAGTCGAGCAAAAGAGATACGATTTTACCACATAAATGATGAAATTTCCTCGAAACTAGCGCGCTTGCGGTTAGCTGACACGCTAATTGGTTCATTTCTGGTTGATTTATTTTATTTTTATTTTGCCTTTACTTTTGGGTGGGCGGGGTTTCAGCCACTTCACCATTATTTCACAAACTATGGATAATGCGTAACCTGATAATGAAATAATCACATATGCCGACAACTAGGCCATGAATTATTCATGGGAAGAAGGTTAAACAAGTAAAAAAAAACTCGTGGGTATTACCAGTGCAGTAATCATTTAGAAAAAAATAGACAAATACCACCCGCACACCTGCGCATGCGCGTTCTGCCCCAAATGTTTGAGGGTCATTCTTCACTCCAAGGCAATACGCAACAAATACAACAAAATTGAGCATTTTTCCAAACAAATTGAGTTCATAAATGACAATTTTGACATCTTTTTATGTTGTTTCAATGGAACAAATTTTCTTTGAACACCAGATTCTGAATCCCACCGACACAAACTGTCAGCTATTTATTGATTTGCTGCACAGTAGCTAACGTTAAAGCCTCCTAAAAAAGCAAGCACTGTATCATGACATCATACAAAATTTTAGTCTTTTAGTCTCTAGCAGCAATCGAATTCATCTTTCCACCATGGTCGTGGTGTCTGACGGTTGGTTTTGGGTGATATGCACTATAAACTATCATATCACTCATATAAATTTCAAGTTGCATACTCTTAAGATTAATTTTCCATTTTTTCCGACAACTTCGCACGCGTGACTGACGCACATTCCACCACCAAATCAGCGTCTGACGAATACTATATATTATCAAATATGGTATATCCTATTCAAAAATAATCATCGTGCATACTATAAGTTTTTTTGCAACTTTTTTTGGCATGTTCCTCGACCTCCCTCACATCTACCCACAGCGGTCGCGCGGTCTGACGCTTGGATTAATATTAGGTGGTATGGATACTATCATAACAAATAAATATCATCGTGCATACTAGGGTACGTTGAAAAGTGACACTACCTCCCGGACTATGAGCCTAGTCAAGGGAGTTACAAAATGATCTTTGTTTCGAGTGTTATATGAATGCCAGGTGAAATATTAATATTCTCAATCCTTGGTGCCAAAGCATTCTATAGTATTGATGAGTATTTGAACTACAAGTTTGATGGCTCCGAACAATAAAGTGGCAATTGTACTTCCTTACTGTGACGTGTGGAAATATTTACTGTATAAACACCACCAATAAATATTATTATTATTATTATGTTCATTTAGTAATATCATTCTATATACCTTGCCGGTACGTCTATACAATGGTAATATGTATAAATGTTTATATACCTACATGAAAATTATTCCCAGTAGAACCCAATAGAGTTTTACATGAATTAGTTTAGTGTTGATGAAAATGAAATACTTATGTAACTGGGACTGTGATGTCCGAATAATAATATAGCAATATGAGTGGCGTTTATTTCATGTAAACAAAAATAAATACTACTATAATATTCCACAATAATAACCCGAAAGATACTGAAATCGCCTGAACCACAGAATCTGAAATGGACTTCGCATGTTTACCACCAAGAAAATTTTATGAATAGGGAAAATACCCTAAACCACACTTCTGTTAGGTACCTAAACGCGCTCTTAACTCGGTAATATACGATCTTATAAAAGCCGTTATTTATATCCTGCCAATAGGTAGGTATCTTCAAATTGACCTCAGTCCGACCAACCTCTCCAATTGTCTCCTTTAAGTCCAGAGAAAAAAAGCCTACCAAACTCAAATTGAAAATTACCAAATAAATCTAACCTTTCACCTAACTTCCCCAATCAAAATTATACACACCAAAATATTAATTAAAGATATTCTGACCTTTTCCTCAATAGGCAGCGAACCAAACTCTTTTCGTGAGATGTTGGAAGTCGAGATGTCGTTATTGTATTGAGATGATGTGTCGTAACCCCTTTCGACTTAATCTTTATCCGTCACGGAGGGTCTGGATTTACCCCATTCACTTACAATGATGACAAATTTGATCAGGTTGGATTTTATAGTCTTTACTTAAAACTAGAGATGTAACGGAGCTTTGGTTCCGATTCCGAAAGAGCAGAACTTCCGATTGATTTTACACTTTCGATTCCGATTTCAGTTCCGACAAATTTTAATCGGATGTTATATCAGAGGTTGATGGACAGGGTCGGTGCGGCCACAATCATTACGTTCGCGTACAAATAAGTATATACTTGTAGGGCTGGGAACCTTCCTCACCTCGTGCCTTCTGTTGACTACATTTTCACTTGTTGTTGTGTTCCTTATGTATAATTTGCTTCTTTTCGAGTCACTTTATTTGATCTATTTACATATTAGTATTGTTTAAGATGTGACATGTCTCTTCTTTACGGTTTCGATTCCGGTTCCGATTCCGATTTCGGTTCCGATATAACAACTTCCGTTACATCCCTACTTAAAACCCTGCAATTAATACCCCCCCATTGTAAAGCCTATCGAAATAGCTGCCAAACTCACCGGTAGGTGTTCTCGGGCTAACAGATAAGTTGGAAAGCGAGAAATTGCTTCAACCCGGCAGAAGAGTGGCGTAATCCACAACCGATCCACCAAAATGGCCACTACCGTTGGTATATTCTTAAGACCCAATATTTATTATTGATTTCCGAAACTGGGAAATGCCTTTAGAATAATACCTCGAATAATACCTACCACAACTTCTACGCTTTCAAAATCTACAATGACCAAAAATCCTCTTTTCCTTTTTTAAAACCCTAATCAAAAATTTCATGACCTCGACCCTGAGATTAAATTCTTTCGCTTTAGGAAAAATAACCCAAACAATACCCAATACCGAGCCCAATACTGACCTCTACTATAAATGTTATTAACACTAAAAAGGGCTCTACAAAATTATTTTATTTAACTAACAAAAATAAAAATATTTAAGTAAACGGTAAACGTTGCAAGATGTTGTATTGTGATTATGTTCAAAGCTGCTAAATATTAATTTAAAAAATGCACATCTCGTTAAAAAGAGTAACGTTTATTTTTTATTTTGACGCTTGATTAGCTTTAATGGATTCAATACTATTACGGAGAAAAAAGCGCAAATCTATAATTTAATAGCATAATGTCAATACAGATAAATGGCAAATGATTATATTATGTAAATACATGTGAGCATGAACAATTAGTTTGATCAGTTAACCTGACAAACGTATGTAAACAATTTAATTAAAATTACTCCTATTTGCATAAAGTAATTGAATCTAATGCATTATTAATCAAAACAGATTATTTGGGTATAATATATGTGCAGCATTCTCGGCAATATTACACCACATAACTAAAAATTTAAAATCGATGTGCTACATGCCCATATTTTTAAAAAATTTAATTTTTGTATTTTTGCAGACATTTTGGGACACCGTCTTGAATTTCTCAAAATGCTCAAGGGTGACCGAGTGGCATCAATCGGATTCTTAAAATAGACCTACTTAGTGACCTAAAACCGCGAAACTATTACCGTACCTTACTTCCAGCTTTTTCGTCTGGCTTCCAGGATATAGCATTGTTATTTAAATACAATATCCTGTATATTCCATTTTTAGATTCTTTAAAATATTCTCGAAATATTTTGTACTCACAGTGTCCCATTTTCAATAATTAGGGTTATTTTCGTAATTGTGTAATTGTTAGTGCCCCCGTTAGTGATATCAAAAAAGTCATACCGCATGTAAAAAGAAGTATAAATTGTGCACAACTCTTGTGCAGATAAAGCGCATTTTTTAAACGAAATAACTTTTATTTTGACATCACCAATGGATATATTTCTAGCAGACGTCTCAATCGCCCTTTGTGAGTAACCTCGTCCGACAATCCGTTCTTGAGGTATAAGGGAATATACCCGATCACGACAAGAGGTCGAGGAAGAGGGGTATGGTTGATAGAAATTAATTCCTTTCGTTGAGACCTTTAATTAGAGTACCGTGAAGGATATAACTATATATAACCCCTCCCCCCCTTTCCCCCCTCCTTGATAAGAGGACAGAAAGAAGGGCAGTAGTTGGTAGAAAACGGTTCCTTTCGTTGAGACCTTTAATTAGAATACGATGAGAGATAAAATTAATTTTAACCCCCCCCCCCCCCCCGACTCTCACTAACCTCGAAAAAGAGTCGCATGGGAAAGTTATAGTTTGTACAAACCAATTTATTTCGATGACACCTTTCATTAGAATACCATGAAGGGTATAGATTTTCAAAAGCACCACTAAAGGCATGCATATGCAAAATCTGAGACCAATTGGTGGTCGTATGGAAGTTATGCACGTTTTACTTTCAAAAACAGGAAATAATTCGTGGGGGGGGGGGGCCCTTTTAGACAACGGAATTTGATGGCTGTCTGGCACACCTTCAAGGTATGGGCTACCTATTGCAAAAAATTCCAGGACTCTAGGACCATTCCCCTACAAGTAGTTCGCAACGACAGAAGTGCGTCCGGACGGACGGACAAAACGCAAACAATAGCACATTTTTTTTAATTCTTAAAAAATGCGCTAAAAAATTGGATGATAGGGCAAGGATTAGGACAAACACTTTTTCCAAATAAACCGAAGGTCCAACATGTTTCGTTTAGGAGCCACCCCCAAAGCAGTAGTGAAATTTGATTGTTCTTGGATATTCCTATTATTAAACTTATAAAATGTCACTCAGAACGTTTTTTTTTTAATTTCGAACTGTTTTTAATTAATATTAATTAACGCGAAATTTGATACAACCTGTAGATGTCATAACATGCTTTTTGAATGAAACTTAAAACTATAAAATCAAACTTTGAACATTTTCGATCGCTTGGGAGGTACCTATACCACAGAGGAAAATCAAAATATTGTCAATTTCAGAATGACATTTCTTAGTTAAAAGAGATACAGAAAAGGTTTTATGCAGTACCAAAGTTTCTTTGCAATGATTGTTGCTCTGCAGAATAAGTGTACGGGATCAGATAAAATAGTTATCGGACCTCATTTTTTTAAATGAAAACCCTTTATATCTTAGTCTAAAAAGATAGCATATTAAATTCTCTTTTGCAAAATATAACGCACAAAAAAATCTAAAAAAGATTTAAAAAAATTTAAAAATCTTTTGAAATCTTTCTTAGATTTTTTTAATGGGTAAAACCTTTTTTTGATTTTTTAAATCTTTTTTGAATCACTTGTACATTTGTTTAATATCATCCATGGTGTGTTATATTTTTAAAAAAGATTTTAATACACTATTTATGTAGATTAAAATAATGCAGGGTTTCCATTACAACGAATTAGGTCCAAGTTACCTGATCCCGTATACACGGCAGATTATTAGCAAAAAGCTTTTAGTGAAAATTTGAATTGTCTAGCTATTGTAATTGCTGAGCTCTCATCCGGACAGCCAGCCCTAACGAATATAATAGCGTATTTTTTTTCAAAAATGTGCTAAAAACTAACACTTCGTTATCTTATTACTATATTATGTGTGTCAGTAGTCCGCTTTTTTACGGAGATACGCCCGCACTTTTAAGTTTTCGTAACAGATCGAAAATGCAGAATCTCGTATAGGTAATTTTCACTGATTTCTCAATTAAAATCTAAACATTCAAAAAAGTCATACCCCTGGTCATACCTTTTAGATGTCCATGGTATATATGCGATGTGTCTGCGGCAATGGGGCCATTCGGACCATGTACTTCTAACTTTTCATGGAAAACGGAAAGATCTCTTCGTAAACGAAGATTGAATTTGCGTCCGTGGGCATAAAAGGACATATGAACTTCATGATCGGTTACGACAGATCTTTTCGACCTAAGGTGTGATCTGTGAACATCCGTACTATCATAATCCAAGGGTTCGTAATGGCTAATGTACTCGTTCAAACGGTTTGCTGAAACAAAAGAAACACTATATTAATGCGGTGTTGTTATTTTTACCAAAATAAGATTAAGGCACAGTGAAGTACACACTGCTACCATAGGAGCGTAGACTTCCAAACACTTTATTGAAAATAGATCTGGATAAAAATTGTTGGGGAGTCTTAAGAGGCTTCTATACTCGTCGTTTAGTTTCTCAGGGGCCTGCGGGGTGTATTTTAGAGTACTGAGGAGGCGGTACTGTAATTCGCAATATCGTTTTCCCTCCGTACATTTTCGTATGTAGGTACGCATCTTTCCCTTTTCCGAATCCCGTCAGGCGCACACAATACTCAAGATCATATATTAAAGATGGTAGGATGACTCGCCGCCATTATGTAAGACAGAATGCGGCGCCAGTTAAAATCGCTCCCTAGATGTCGCCACCCATCCCAGTGTACTTCACAAAACTGTCAATTTATTCAACACGTCATTTAAATTTGAATTAAACCATCAAATATGAGAAAGTGTTTGATTTGAGACCACAATACGCCCTTAACTAGTGATGCATCTTTATTTCAAGTTCCTTCAGTATGTAATTGAAGCATTTCGACTTTTTTTTAGTCAAAATAATTTACCTACTTTGTGTAAATGCAATAATTACAATTCTTGTTTTGTAGATTGTCACAACGCGCAGCTTCAAAAAAATATGCGAAACTAGCAAAATTGGTCTAGTGTCTAGTTAAATTGTTGACGTTTATTATAGAAAATTTATTTGTAAATATTTGTAAAAAATGTAACAGGTTGTTTCCCTGATAATTATATGGAAAAAGGGTCTATGTTTTAACGCATCTGTATTTTAAATTTCCATGGAAAGTAGGAGAGCGACAACTAAGTAATTGTACTCGGCATGAGACCGACGGCAAGGAAGCTGTGCAGAAGTGTAGTGTAGTTGTGTTTCCCACACACTGTGATGGGAGTGATTGTCATTCTTCTGAAGTCCGAAGTTGGTCGTTTTGCAGAGGCGTTAGATGGGAAGTTGACTAAGGTTAGGATAAGCCACATTTTCCTACTTCCGTTTTGTAGTTCAGCCTCCAGCACTGCCACACTCCTGGAACGGAAGTTGGTTAAAGTTATTGCACTAGTCCCCTTCTATCAAGAATTTAGATCCCTGGAGCTTCCGAGATTAAGTTATAAAATAACAAGGTAGGTTGAACAAGTCGGGTCCCCTACCTTCCATCTTAACAGTAATAATGTAGACTTTTGCTAGTTCCTCTAATCCACATCTCAGCAGCCGAGAATCTCTGTAATCAAACGGACAATAATGATTTTGTGTCAGAGGTTCTTACATCTCTCGGCATGATTGCTTACACCGTAGATTGTGTAGGTGAGGGTCATTTGATGCTTCTCTTAATATACGAAGGGTGGCTCCTGGTTTGTTCACATGGTTTACATTGATCAATGACCTGTTGACTTCGCTTGATCCAGTACAAGCTCCGACAGCTAGGCGAGGTGAGAAGTCAGTAATGCAGGTATTGCGCTACTATTTACTGTGATAACGAGTATCCTTTTCAGTGGAATCCCCCATTCCTCTGTAACTTTTAACTTTAGCAAAGTGAACAGTGCGAAGTGCAAGTTTGCTTGCTTATACATCCAATTAGTACCTACTTGTCTATTTTATTTACCGAAATTGTTTGCAATAATAACTAGGTATAACCATATATATAATATATATGGGTATAACACACTGTAGATGCCAAACCACACCAAGTCGCTAAGTACAAAATTTTTGGTCATAACATCATAACCTAAAACAATTTAAATGACATTCATTTGAAGTACACTGATCACCCTGGCGCCATCTATGGATTGAGTTTACCTAGCGCCGCATTTGGCGTCAAATTTTACAGGTATAAGCGCGCCTACCAGTCTCTATATATCTTGA